AGGGAGGGAGGGAGGGAGGGAGGGAGGGAAGAGGGAGGGAGAGATGGTTACAAGTAAACTTTAAGAAAAGGGGCCCTAAGACTGTAGTTATGCTTTTGAAACAAATAAAATTCATAAACATATTTATTATCGGTAAATTCTGTTGCAATACAAAGTCTAACATTAGCTTTGTCAGGTCAGTCAGAGGAATATTAAGCGACGTAGTATGTGTTGATGAATGCTGGATCATGGATATAGGAGGGGCTCATGGTACCATCTTCTAATTTATCATAGTAAGAAAACAGGGCTGGGGATGTAGACCCATGGGTAGGGTTGTTGCCTAGCATACCGGACGCCCTGGGCCCCATCCCTGACATCCAGCACTGCCTACTCCAGGAGACATGGTACATGACAACTCTAACATTCATGAGAAAGAGCAGGTTCAAAGGTCATTCTCGGCTACAAGGAGATCAAGGCCAGACTGAGACACATTAGACCTCATTTCAAAAATGAAATTCAATAAAATTAAGGCTTCAGAAACTCCCACGTACAATAAAAGAATATTGACTGATATTTCCACCAGTTGTGTAAATCGGCAAAGTTTGTTTCTCTTCAAAATCCTGCACTCTTATACACAGACCTCGAAGACATCTCACATTGTAGGCTGGGGCTTCACTTGACAGATTTTGCCTTCAATAAATCCTTTATTAAAACAGGATATTTTTAAAAAAAAAAAGTCTTCATAAAGCCCTAGAATTTGCTCTGTAGACCAGACTGGTCTTACTCTTGTGCCTCTCCGATTGACTCTGCTTGTGAGTGCTGGAATTACAGGCATGTGCCACCACACCCAGCTATAAAACATGGATTTTTGTCTGGTTCTCTTGCATCCAGAACAACACTACCTACCAAGTAGGTCCTTTGGTTGAAAAGCTGAAGAAGGTACCAAGTCTGACTTTGTGAACATCCTTCGAGAATGTTCTCTGCAGTACAAAAGGGCTCATAATTTACCGAGCCTGCCTGTGTTTTTCTTTGTCCTAAGATTGTGGTCCCGTGAATTCTCAGAAACACTCCTACAAAGTAGCCGCTGTGCTGGTATTTTATCTGAGGACATGGGGACCCAGAGAGACAAAGTACCGCATTCCAAGCACAACTCTGACTGATAAAGCCAAACCCATATCTAGGACAATCGGGTTTTCCGTGGTCCCTTTAAAACTTGTTAAGAGTTGAGATTGTCAACACCAAAGATCTTGCCGCTTCAGCAAGCCCTTTCCACACCCCATCTCCCACAATAGGGCATCACAGGGATCTTTGAAGCACAGGTCCTGAACATAACAAACTCTATTCTTCAATACTAGATTGTTTAAAAGGGTTGTTGTGGTTGTTGCTATTAGCAGTGGGGTTTTTGTGGTTGATATAAACTTACTATATAGCTCAAGATGAACTTAAACTTCTGAGGCAGCTGCCTCCACCTCACAAATAAATCTCAGAGTGTAGATCTGCACACCACACTCAATGGTTAGTTCTAGGTTAGTTCATATGATTAGTTCTTGGGATCAAGCCCAGTATTCTCCTAACTGAGCTACATTCCCGGCTTCCATGTGGTACAAATAGAACCAAGAAGTAGACAGGATTGTGGGAAAACCAATGTAAACTTAAACATAACCCAGGATCTACCGGGGGAGCCTCAAACACACAAGGGACTTTACTGTGGGCACATGGCTTCCCTCTGGGTTAGTGTTCTTTGTGTGGAGAAACTCCACACAAGACAGGCTGAGGGAGAGCTGGCAGGGAGCCAAGAATGACACAGCATGGAGCAGTGGCCAGAGCTACATTTACCCTAGGAAAGGAAAGGAAAGCCAAGCCAGGCCGGGCAAGGCCCAAGCCTCACTTGAAGTTCTTCCCACATTTTGAGAGGTAGACCTATTGGGTAAGCATGAAGGAGACTTAAAAGCAGTCAGGCCATTCCTCAAAGCCATTCAGATGTGCTGGCTCCCATGGGAGGCCCACATCCTCGGGCTTACAGTAGGGACATTACCTGATCTCAAGTACAGAGTGAGCTCTTTTATGCAGAAATTCTCACATTATCCTAAGCAGACTAACGCAGCAAGGTAGTTCACCCCAAATTTTCCAGAGTAGAAACTTATTCCGGCTATGAAGGCTCATGCTTGACAGAGCTCAAACTAAAGATATCAGTGATGTTCTCTTCCAAATCTCAAATTCTGTGCTCTGTTCAACGCCAGGAACTGCTTATCTCAAATACAGTTTTTAAGGAAATAAAATTTTCTTTTGTTTTTGTTTTATTTTAAGATAGGTCCTTGAGAAAGGATGGCTTCAAACTCAACCAAATACCCAAGGATAACCTTGAACTCCCAATCCTTTGAGCAGGACCACAGATGTACACAACCATGTCTACTTTTATGCAACACTAGGGAAACAAACCTACAACTTTGCACATAGTAGGTAAGCACCCTACTGACTGAGATACATTCCTGGCCCTAAGAAATAAAACTATTATTCTGCATTCTTTCCTTTTTTTTCAGACTGACTAAAGAGCTATCCTGGGGCCAGCAGGATGGCTCAGTGGGTAAAGGTGCTTGCCACCAATCTTGATGATCTGATATTGATCCCCAGAACCCTCACAGTAGATGGAATTGACGCCCACAGGTTGTCCTCCGATCTCCACATGTATACACACACTCATAGTTAATATACAAAAATATTCTTTAAAGAATTCACATTCCTGACTTCCTGCCATCCAGACTTTAACCAGGCGTAATAAAAGTAAAAACTAAACCCACTTAACAATAGTGACTATTGTGTTACCATTTCAATGAGTCCTTTCAGGTCATAATCTGAGTTGCTCATAGAATGATCAACATGTTTAGAGGAAAAGCCACTTTTGAAGGGGGCATGCTTGACGAATATAGGAGGCAAATCCCTACCCACCACCTATCTGTATCAAAACATGCTGTTGTAGACTGAACCATAAGAAACCTGAACCAGCCTACTGCATGCAGCACAGCACTGCACTATCAATAACTGAAGCACAGGAACTAGCAAGCGTTCCTGCAGGTTTGCTCTTTCCAGGGGAATTCATTTGGATGCCATCAGTCCTTCACTGGAGAATGAGATCAACCAAAACAACCGCCACTCATCCATTCCCAAGCGAGCGGTATTTCTATCATGTCTCTGGCCCTCCGCAGACGGTAATACCAACAAGATTACCCTGTGGTGTTTTGTGTTGTAGTCAAGTTACGAAGTAAACTGCCTTTTGAATTTTAACTCTGTTTCATTTTTCAGAAGGGTAAAATGTTTGCCGTGTGGGACTGTCAATACGTGCTGCCAGACTTCAGAGCCTCTGCAGAATGATCTAGAAAGGTCCAACTTGCAAGGGGGAGGATTATTTTCTTGCAATGTCTGGTTCTTTGCCCATGACATATCCCCATATGACATTTTTTTGGATCTGATCAGCTATGTTCTGACTTAGAGGATAAATAACAGATTTATGTCATGTAAAAAAAAAAAAAACCCTAGTCAAAATTTAGAAAAAAATTACTATTGCGTTTCTAAGGGCATACCTTAGCGAGAGTGATTCCAAACACTCCAACTCGATAAAATGGTAACTGTTTTGCTCCTTCCTTAACTGCTGTACCAAAGTCTAAGTCACCTGTAAGTAGCTTACATAGTTAATATGCATGGCTTAATGAAGGAGATAAATTTTCCCTCATGAAACCATTCACCATGGAGGCCACAGACATACTCATTGACTCCCAAAGTCTGTTTCCACAGTCTGATTGTCTGGAGTACTGGGATTCAACCCACGGCCTCCTCACATGGATAGGTAGGGGCTGTACCCCCCCCCCCCACAGTGTACTCCCATCCTGCATACAGACCTCTTGAAATAAGATCTCTCCTGTTAAGAGTACATTTATAAACATGCAGTAAGAATTCAGTAGCTATATGCCCTATCATGATTCCTTTTCCTTGAACTAACCCTGATCAGATTCTATAAAGACATGAGTACCTCCAAGGCATTACTGATGGTGCTTTAAAAAAACAGAAACAACATTGAAAAAACAAAGTTACAGTACCATATTACTGTATAGATGACATATATAGTCACTAATAGTGTGAGCAAGATGTGCCGAACAAAAATATGTAGTGTCCAGTGATAAAAAAATCACAGCATATCCATATACACTGTGCAATGAAAACATTCGAGATATTTATATCAATATAACTATATGACAAATTACACCTTAAGCACCAAAAATATTTTATATAGTTATCCTATACATATATTTCATGATCCACATGGCATAAGTAAAAATATAAGGCCATGAAATGACAGACTACATATATAACTGTGGTAGGGGTTAGCCCTTAGAAGGCAGAGAAGGATAGAGAGTCAATAGCTACAATATTATAGTGTATATACTATTATCTGTCTTGTGTGTGTGTGTGTGCATTATATAGTATAGTATAGTATAAAAAAGACAATAATTAGAACTGATCTATATTTCAAATGCCAAAATACACATACTGCTTACTGAAAGAAGGCTATAAAATGATATACAAACTACACACTTTTTATAGAAACACATATTGCATACATGAAAGACCACACAGGATAGAATACAAAATACTAATTTTGACTTTTCTCAGGAAATGAAGGTAACCAATTAATTTTGTTTTCCTTTTATTTTTTCCCATAGCAAACTTTTCTTACTACAAGCTTAACTTTCATAAGACATTTATAGGGTATTAATGCTTATTACATTTCTTTCAAAATCACAATGATGCCAAGGCATTTCTATTTTTTGCAAATGGGGACTGTTTTTGTTTTCTTGATAGTATGATCGGTGAACCTGCAGTCACTGGGTCTACTCACACACTCCCCAAAGCCAAGTGATTATTACTCCACTGAAATGCTTACATACTTTTCTGAAACTCTTCCAGTTTCTTAACAGCTTCATCTCGTTCTTGTCTAATTTTGTCACACTGAAATGAAAAAGAGAAAGAGATGGTAAACTCATGATGAAATGTAACCTTGACAAGGCGAGAAGCAAGAATAAACTCACAACAGCCACACTTCTTCTTTCTCTTCTTGTATTTCCAGACACAGTTTCTCTCAGAGACTAGAGAGTTAGCTCAGCAGCTAGGAGTGTGTGCCACTCTCACAGAAGACACCAGCTTAGCTCCCAGCACCCTTTCCCTGCAGCTCACAAGTGACTGACTCCAGCTCTGAGAAAGCCTGATGGCCCCTTCTGGTCTCCAAGGGTACTGTACTAGGTTGCATATACACTCGTATAGACACACACATGCAAACACATAATTAAAAATAAAATTAATCTTAAAAAAAATTCCACAGCCTCAGTAGTACCAGATGTCAGTGCAGCTCGCCTAACATGATACATATTTATTTTGCCCAGCTGAGTTTCTAGGAGTTTCTGAGATTAGGAGTCATTCACTGCTCATTATCTCCTTGGTTGGTAAACTGACTACCCTTGAGTTAAAATGTATTCCTTTTAAATTGGTAACATCAACTACCCTTGAGTTAAAATGTATTTCTTATTAAAGTTGGTAACATTGACTACCCTTGAGTTAAAATGTATTCCTTCTTCAAGTTGGTAACATTGACTACCCTTGAGTTAAAATGTATTCCTTCTTTAAGAGAATATGTATGGCCTGCTACACTAAAGAACCCCTGAGAATCAAAGCCCATCTCAGGGACAGTGAGATGGCTTAGTGTTAAATGAGAATTCCGGGCAAGCATGAAATTACAAGTTCAGATTCTCAGCATTCATGCAAAGTTGGCATGGCCACGAGTGCTTTTATTCTAGCTTTGGGAGAATAGAGAGAAACAGGTTGCAAGAGATCTGGTGTAGAGTGACAAAGCACAACACTTGAAATTTCTCCCCTAGCTTCCATGTGAATATATGGGCACTCGCACACTCACATACATGAAATACACACACACACCTTTATCTGTAGGACACACCCATGAAGGGAACACAACACGTGTTACAGGTGCTCAGGGCTGAGTCAGTAAAGCTGACCATTAAATTTTAGCTCTCTCCCTATACACCAGCCAGGCTAACTAGACATTATTTCCCTCAGAGGGTATGCTGTCTCACTAAGGTTTCCTGTGGGACTCCATTCTCTGTAAAAACACATCTTGTTTCATAGGGTTCCTAGCTCCAATTTAACAGACAGACTACAATTACTGTTGTTTTTTTATGTATTAAAAATTCTCTTCAGAGCTCTGGATTCTCAAATCAGCTTTTCACACCTGGGTGAGCAACGATAGACTATACAACCTGTAACCATGACACTCCTGGCCAGCTGCTTCTGAATGTTCCTCTTATTTTCTGTAACTGGTTCCTGTTTACTTTGGACCTCCCCCAAACTTCTGCCAGGCTGTTCACCCCACTCCAACAATACACAATAGAGCTGAAGGCTCAAATAGAATCCAAATTTCTGACGAGACCAGAAGACTTGAGTCATGATCATCCAGTACAACAAAGCTGGTGTTTTACTTTCTAATTAATTCTCCGTTTCTCCATCTAGCATCTCTGCAAGTATGAGGTGTCCTCTGTAGACATATCTTCATCACAAGATAGTGTTATAGGATGATGAATAGCGTCAATCATTTGAGTGTCTCCCTGTGCTTTTCAAAATTCCGTTTAAAGGAATTAACAGGGTATCCAGTTTCCACTTATATACCCAGTTTTCATTAAAACTTTTCATAATGAGAATGTAAACAGGAATGGGCCTAGCATTATACCTAGTTAGGTGGGAAAAGGCACTCAATTCCTTCACACACCAACCACCAACTCAGACTCACATTTCCTGGTCAGGAGTAGTGCCTGGCCTTCACAGGCAGGCCTGTTCCAGCTGCCCATAGGGGAGACTTGATGCTGGTGCTCGCTGCTCTTAAGACCCAGGAGGACACACTGATTAATAACAGATTTTAGTCCAAGGTGCAGGGAAGTGGTTCTGTAGTGTCCAGCACACACTAACCTCTAGTTACCAACACAGTCGCAAGCTGTCTCCCAACCCCAGCTGTGCTCTCTCAGGGGTTTTCATGTTGCTTTGCTTTCTATTTTCTGCAACCACATTATGATAGAACTGGCAGCCACTGAATTTACCATCTGCTATGCTGAAAGGCTGAAAGGGTAGGAGGGGGGGTTACACATGCTGCAAATGCAGCTTACTGATTCCACACCAGAACTAATCAAATAGGAAGGATGCACCCACTTACCGAGCAAGAATGCAAACACCCATTTACGACATCATCTCAGGTAAAGGCAGAGACATCCTCCAACCCTTCTCCCTCTCTATCAACACAGAGACATTACAGGGAGCACAGGCACGCAGCACTGCTTCATCTTTGTGCCACAAAGAAGCCCATACCCTTCCTACATTCTCCTCTACCCTGCTCTGGTAGGGCAGCTGTACCATCTGTAAAGACTGTCTCTTTTTGTGTTGAGAATTGCTCGTGAAAACTTTGTAATAGCAACAGATGTTCTTTGGACTACATCATTTAATCAGGAAGCTCAACAATGCTCTATAGCTCAGGGCTGGAGTCTAACCCAGCGGCCTGAGTGCTGGCAGCTTTAAGGAAACTAAATAACATTCCAGCTAGTCCCCAGACTCGGTTTGACTCTTTAGAAAGTGGTAGATTGACTAGAGGTTGGTCTTGGTGGTGTTAAAAGCCCTTTGTATGAGAAGTCCAGGGTATTTTCCAGATATCATCATTAATGCTCACCTAGGCCTGTGAAAAGCTTGCCTGGCTTATCTGAGAGCATGGGAGGCTGGGCTTCGGTGGAATGGCATGAGCTGGTATCATCCAGCATAAGCTGGTATCATCCAGCATGAACTGGTATTTTCCAGCATGAACTGGAATCTTCCCTGTTCCCCTTCTACCTGTCAGCCAACACTGTCAACATAAATGTCTTTTTTTCTGGGTTCATCAGAAGCACTAGGCAGATGTAGACAAGATTTATAATCTGCTGTATGTGTGGTTTATGTAGCAAAACCTCAACATTTCAAATAGTGTCCGATTTCCACTAATATCTTATCATCCCAGCACATACACATGACAAAGAACTGCCAACTAATCGAAAGGACAGCTTGTAGCCTAAAAGATATACTCATACGCTGTCTCCACGCCCTACCAGACAAAAGTTGACAGATGAATAGGCAAACACCTTACAGAGACTGAAGTGGAATTTTGAACAATTATCTCCTGAAACCACTGGATATCTCTATTCCCTTCCTCTGTGTACTGACTCACCTCTAGATCCGTTGTTTTCAACCTTCCTAACACTGTGACACTTTAATACAGCTCCTCATGTTGTGCTGACTACCAATCATAGAATTCTTTCATTGCTACTTCATAACCGTAATTTTGCTACTGGTACGAATCACAATGTAAATATCTGTGCTCTACAATGGTCTCAGGTGACCCCTGTGAAAGGAGTCATGATCCACATATTCAGTGCTCTAGTGCTGAGCACGGTGCTCAATGCTGACAGGGACCTGGTGGGGAACATGCTAGATTCTGTAGTCTCACAAGACTTAGAATCCACCAACCGAAGTCAACAAAGAGAAGAAGGTCTAAGGACCAAGGACATGGGCTACAGTGACGGAAAGACCGCAAGATTGTACGGACAGAACTCTGACAATTATGCGGCCTGAGAGAAGGTTTAGTCCCACACCATCTTTCTTAAAGTTTAATTCCTTTCATATCCCAGCGACACTATTTTAAAATGCTCCCAGCATCAGAATCAGACATTGGGACCTGCTTTAGAGTCTTTGGTGACACAGAGAGAGGACCGTCCAGTCTGTCTTCCATCTAGGTGAGTGTGGCTCCACCAGCCCTGTGCTTTCTGGATCTGTACAGGCTTATCCCTCAGTAAGGTCAGCCATTCCCTCTGGAATCCTGTTGCTCCCTTCCTCCATTGGAGTTCCTCTTTCTTCCAACTGAAAATTCTTTCCCTCCAATTCTCACAGGCGATAAAGAAGGAGCAGCCACCTCCCCCCCAACCCCCAAGCTGTCATGCAGCGGTCTCCAAACTCTAGGTATTGTGTGCGAGATGGAAGCACATGTCATCAGAACTGAGACCCTCGCTCTTTGTTTCTGGATAGATTGCTGTTAATGAGAGACTCATTTTCACTTTCAAACTGCTAAGTAATTACTTTTTCTCTGGCACAACCACTTGCCACTCCATCTCAAAGAAGCCGCATGTATGTGGATGTATTATGCATGAACAGTTAACATAATGGGCGCAGATCTTGCTCTTTAGAATGGTTTCTTTATTGATTTTTTTAAAAATAATATACTTGGGACCTTCACCTCTGAATATTACACAAGAGGATGGAACTGTAACAATAGACAACCGAGCCAAGATGCAAACACTATCATATATCTTCCTTCTTGAAACGAGTCTTGGGAAGTGTCTGTCTCCCTCTCTTTTCATTCATTGTCCCTGGCAGGCTGACAAAACTGCCTGACGCACTGTGACAGTAACTCACCCAAAGGACTTCTAATCAGCCACTTAAACATTTATGCATTTCAAAACTCAATCTCTGAACGTAACATTAAACATAAATACTATTTAATGGTAGACATTCTTCTATTATACAGATTCCCTTCTTCTACACACTACATGAGCACATGCACACATGCATGCACACACACACATAACACACATACACACCACTACCACCACCACCACCACCCTGAGAAATGTGAATGCCACTCCATTCAAAGCTCAATGAGGCTTTCCTCTAACATAGGAAATAAGAAGAAAAAACCCAACCCTAATGGGTTATGACAAAGATTTCGAGCAAGTCACAAGAGCAGGCTCTTTGACTGCGGAAGGGTGACTAACGATTGGATATAGTGATGCAGACACGGCGAAGAAGCATGTTTTGTTCGGCTGATTCTAAAACACGCAGCCATCTAATTTTGAATACCCCTCCCCAAAACAGACTCAGAAGAGTTTGTTAACGTCGATGCAATAGGCCCTCTGCCCTTCTCGAATATTGCTCATTTGTGTCATTTCAAAACTGGGCAAAAATAATGGAAAGAGGCTATTATCCTCCTACTAAAGACCAGATAACACACATAAAAATCTCAGGGTTTTTGTTTTACAAGAACCCACAGCACTTGCTTGTTTCCTGTTTAACATTGAGATGATAATAAATCCTGTTGGTTGATATGACAAGCACATAAGGGATATACAGATGGTTTTATTACAAAAAAAATTATTTTTCTACTTGTACGAGAGCTCCAGAAGGCTTAGAGATAAGTGACTTATAAATCCATCATTAAAAGAGACTAAAAGTTTGCATATGGAGAAAAAGCAGGGGTCAGGTCACCTTGTCTTTACTTGTCCCACCCAAACTGTACAGACTCAGAAGGCAAGAGTGAAACCACAGCTCTTTACTAACTGGTCTGTGTCCCTTCCTTAGTGGATTTACTAAAAGGTAAAACCTTCATATATTTTTCCTTCATACTTTGGTAGCCAGAAGGCATTCAGCCAACGGATTTTCCTTTATCACCTTCCTTATAAGCTCAAACAGATTCTGATTCCATCTTCAAAGACTTCTTTGAAAACCACAAAATGACCAGCATCCATTGTTGGGGTGGGGAGAAAGGGCTACAGGGAAGAGATCAGTTAGAATGGTAGCTCAGAGTAGGAGAGATGTGTTAGAGAGATTGCCTCCTAGCCTGGTGACCTGAGGTAGATCCCTGGATCCAAATGGTAGAAGAAGAACCCTGACTGCCTCCAGCAAGTTATTGCCTGACCTTCACATATGTACAGTACCGTGCACACTGACATACATACACATACATACACATAAACCAAATGGATAAATGTAAACAACAAAAACCCATCAGTCCGCCCCTAAGTCTTACATTCTTCTTCTTCCAGGGCTCTACCATAACTTATATAGGTATACGCATATACATAAATTTTCCTAATAAGAGATAAATTTGATACTTAAATTTCAAATGTTTCAATATAAATTAACCATGGGTACAGTCATGACCCAGAAAAGCATTGGCTCTCATAAATTTGCTGTGGAAAAATCATAGGTTAACATTAAAAAGATAGAGATGCTTAGTCTGTAAGGTGCTTGCTGTCCAACATGAGGCTCTGAGTTTTATCCCTTGAGCCCACATAAGATACCTGGGCATGGTGGCACAGACTTGTGACCCCAGAAGTGAGGAGACAGAGCATAGTGGTTCCCTGTGGGCTTGCTGCCAGCTGGCCTAGCCAGTTGGTGAAGTTCTAAGCCAATGAGAGAACTTGTCTCAAACAAAACAATACCAGAGGAATAATAGATACCTGAGACTGTCCTCTGACCTCCTCACATACGTATGTGCAGATAACTACCTACACACATAGAAACATACTCTCTATCCTCTCTCTCTGTTTTTTTCTCTCTCTCATTAAAACAAAACCAGGGCCTTTGTAGAAAGCATCAATTTACTCTCTTAAGTTTACCTATTTGTAAAAGAGCACGGAGCTTGCAAGACCCAGGTACGGATCCAGACTGCCACTAATCTCCTGTAGGTTCTCGGGAAACTCACTTTCTCAGGCTCTTTTCGCTTGTGTAAAATGAGGCTAAAACAGTCTGTCTGAACCATTTGTCATGGAGTTCAGAGGGCGCAGATGCCCTGTACTGTTCTCTAAGTAAACAGAGCCTTTTGAGTTGCTGCCTCCTGTGCAGAACTTGTATCCTTTGAGGAGTCTGCAGCAGCCACTAAGGTCTGATGAAGAGGAAGCAGATCTGCTGTCTCTTATCAGCACGGTTCCTGGCCTGGCAACAAGGACTACTAGACTTCCAGACGCACAGTCGGGAGTCATACCTTGCCATTTTTCCCCTCCCTCTACTTTGCCAAATTTCCCTACACTGAATCAACTATGATTAAAAAAAAAAAAAGAATTCTTCTGATGACTGCCCACAATGGATTTAATTTAACTGTGGGCTGGGACCCCACAGAGGAAAGATGGCCGCCTGTATTTGTTGATATAGACAGGATAAAGCTCACACAGCCGGGCACAAGAAAGTGCTTTCCCAGAGAAACAACGATGTCCTCCATTTACAGCCTCCGGAACTAAAGCTGCTTTTACTTATTCTATGTCGTATAAAAGGCTTTTATTATACACTTCTCTCCTTTGTAACGATCCCCCCCTCCTTTGCGGAAAACTCTGCAGTAATAAGCAAGCCAGTCTGTTAATAGAAGGTAAACAGAGTAGGGTAGACTTAAAACCACTCACTCTCCTTTGTCTTACCCAACACACGACATTCCATATTGCTTTCAGCTCTTTTCTTCTCATTTCTGTTAATAGTTATTTTTAAAGAATTAGGACAGAAACAGGTCAATAACGCCTACAGAGGCTGCAAGCCTGTCAGACCATCCTCTGCTCAAAGAGCAAGGAAACGGTTTATTGGGCTGGTCCTTCTTTTAACCAACCTGCAATTCCATGTGCACAACTGCCAACCTCACCAGAGAAAGTGGCTCTGGGTTAAACAGCTGTGACCACACCATGAGGGAGAGCAGGTGTTACAGGAGCACTGTTTTAGAACGTTGCAGAGTCCACAGATAATCATGGAGTAAGAAACAGAAAAGAGAAGAAAAAACAAAACCTTGCAATCTCTTCCCTCTTCTGTTGCAGGGTTTTCTGTCCCTTCCTTTCTCTGGCACATGAAGCCATGCCAGTTTGTTATCCCTCTCCTATTTAAATACACTTTTTACATATTACTATTGTGTGTATGATGTATGTATGTGCAACACACGTATGTACACACGCCTGCGAGTGCCACGGTGGAAGCCAGAAGACAACTTTGGGGAGATAGTCCTTGCCTTCTACCATGCGTTCTGGGGATCAGATTTGGGACCTTTGGTTTCTACAACAAGGGTTTTTAACCCTGCTGAGCCATCTTGTCTCTCCAGTTTGCTTGGCTCCTCCCCTCCCTGTTTGCCCAAAAGCAGATGCAGAGCAGACTTCTTGTCAGCCTCCTCTTGGAACTGAAGGCTGGTTAGACCTCTGAACAAAGGACAGTAAACTACCTACTTTGAGCACCCCAGGAAATTCACTTTAAAATTGTGAGAGTCCAGGACTCAGGGTCTAGGCACACCACCTCCACTACATGATGTCCTCAGGACTTCTGTGTTTGGGGAGTTTTGATAACAGATCTAAAAATCTTTTTTCGAACTATTCTCCATGGCCTTCTTGCTTTAGAAAGAAAGTTATTAGTTCCCTTTCCACTTGGTATTTTTTTCTCCCAGTTACCCATTCCCTCTGTAGTTGAAGAGAGGAAGGGAGATGAGATTTCAGAGACAAGGCATGAGGAGGGAGGGCTCAGATGTCACATAGTGTTTGAAGGTGCTTGCTGCTCTTACAGAGGACCCAAGTTCAGTTCCCAGCACACACAGTGGATGGAGCAGCCACTACACTCCTCTAGCACCTGCACTCATACACACACGCCTACGTACTAGATACAGCCATACAGACAATCAAGATAAAATAAACATTGTTAATATCAAGAGAGCCTTAAAAACTAGGTTTAAAATAGCGATCTAAAATACAAATATAGTAGTAACTGAGCTAAAGCGCTAACCATTACTGCCATCAGTCAAACTATACCCAACAACTGGTAAATTAATGCTTGAAAAAGTCTAATATAATTCTTAAGAGCCCAATAAATAAAGTCTGAACGTGCTACAGATTTTACATCTATTTAGGTGACTGTTAGCTGTTGTTAGAACCCTTGTTCTGAAATTTAAAGATATTATAGCGACCATAATCTCTTTCTTATTTAAAAACTATCACAGACCTCTTAATCCGTGCTCTGCTAGGGGTAGAGTTTTAAAATATTTTGCCTATCTTACTTGATACAATATCATGTTATTTAGTGATTTTAAGTTAAAAAAATTACATTTTAAATTTTTATATAATTTTAAAGACAAACCCATAGTTCTTGTTTTTCATTCCTCATTTTGTGTTCTATTTAGTGCTTCTGTTTTTCTACTTTCCCACCTCAGTCAGTTGACAGGAGGGAAGAGTGCACAAGCACATACATAAACATTCACAAATCTCTGTTTGGTTCTTGATACAAGATCTCAGTCTATAGCCCAGGCTGGCCTCAAACTCATGGCAATCCTGCCTTAGCCTCCCAAGTGCTAGGATTACACAATCATGAAGCTCTCACACACAGCAAACACTCATAAATCTTAAGATTTTAAGAAACAGAATCTGTTTATCTAATAGCGCAAAACAAAACTTGCAGATCCTGTGAAAATATTCATTGTACTTCCTCTGTAGTCACACTATGTGTTTATTATTCCCTCTGTAGTCACACTGCGTGTTCATTGTTCACAAGAATAGCAGAAGCAAACTTGAAAACGGTGTATGGAGACGGTTAGCTAAATACCAATACCTAGCTCCCTTCAGCACCCAACAAGTCTGGGTCCCAGAAGTTCATCACCATCATCTCAGGTCTGACTATTAGAGAAAAGTACAATCTGTGAATCCTTGCATGGCTTGGCTTGGTGCCTTGCTACACATTTAACTGTGTCCTTATTCTCCTGGGACAATGCCCATTGTAGAAAGCCTGCTATTCTTTACCATCTGGAGCCTGGAGTTGATATTAGCTTCACACACACACACACACACACACAAGAGTAAAGAAAAGGAGGGTGGGGAGAACCCTCTCTCATTCACGTTGAACTGAAATTGGTGGCTGAACAATGCATTGTGCTGCCTAGACATTCACACTTGTAAGAAAATGGACGGGCACCATACGAACCTTCTCCTTTGTCTTCTGGTTCTCTGCTCGAAGGTCTTCATATTCGCCTATGGCTAAAAGAAAAAAAAAAAAGCAACATTACCACTCTCGAAAGTTCACTGTGGGAAAACATGTGACTCCAGCTGACCCCCCCAGTAACTGTTCCTTAAGTTTGGAGGAGGGGAGAGTATCTCAAAGGGCTTCTGCCTTCAGGTCTCAGATGTGAGGCCCACTATACTAGGCCGTCAGGAAGACCCAGAAGTGACCCCTGAGAAGCCCTCCTGATGCCCAGAGCTTCCCTGTGTATCGCTCAGACACTGTTCATCTGTGGCAATCGCGTCAGAGGCTTACTCAGAAAATAAAGTTTGCTTGTACATTCAACTTCACATCACTTGTCTACTTTATTCACAGCTGAAAGTTCTTGTGATGAGTGTCTGGCTGAGAATGTCTGCTTCTAGGCGAGATGGGTGATGGGCCCTGCCATGCCAGAACCCTGTACCCTTCATTTCACAAAAGGGAGAATGTGAGTACCCAGCTGTGTGGGGAACAGCCTGAGGAGTAACCTGAACCCCCACACTCAGATTTTAGTAAAAATAATAATAATAATAGCATTTTAGGCCTCCTCAGAGTTGACACTACAAAGTTTAAAACCATGACCTAAGACTGACAATGAGCAGAGCCTCTAGGGCCAGCCTAGTTCACCAACCACTGGACAAGACTGACACTGAGAGCTAGAAAATCATTGGGCTGCACGTTCACCTGTGTAAAAATTTTAATTGGGATTTACCTTTTAAAAGTAGCTCGGTTTTCTTTTTAAAAATATGTTTCCCGCTTTTATTAATAATATGAAGACAGATATAAAAACCTGAAGCCACTAACTTCAAAGACATCCCAGATGGGCACCAGGCATGGTGGCATATGCCTGTAATTCCAGCATTAGGATGATCCAGGCTAGCCTACGACAACCTGGTCTCAACCTTCCCTCCCACCAGAAAAAAAAGAAAAAACAAAACATCCCAGATAACCTGGCCATCAGCTCTAGAAATGTATGCTTACCACATGGGCAGAGAATGCCCATGTGACATGGTAAGAGGCAAGCTGCATTCCCTCCAGCAGTGACCCACAAGGCTTGGGACACGTGCTATGACGGTAATGCTCAAATCGCACTACAGAAGCCACATACCCACACAAAGCTCCGAGAATTAGGCCACTGGTAAAACAGCTCTGGATAAACATGTAAAATAGAACCCTTTAGAAAACTATTACATCTTCAGCAGGTACAATTTCATGAAGCACAAAATGAAACTCTCCAAGCCTGGGCTCCTCATCCGAGCTCACTGCACACATTCCAACAACTGAGTAGGAGCTAAATTCCCCTAGGACCTAAAAAAAATCTTTGAAATGTGTTCCCCTTTAACAAAAGCTAAGAAAGAGAATCCTAAACATGCACTGATGCCATTGGGTAGTGGACTATGGTCATGGCCCCAAACATCACTGTCCTACCTAATACTGCTTCAACAACATAAAAATTAAAAGCTCTTATTGAGAGACTTTGGCTTCCATTACTCAGCATTTAAGTGTATCTGCAGAGTTAGGTAGATGGCTCCGCTTGCTGCACAAGCCTGAAGAATTCAGCTGGAACCCCTAGAACCCACATAAAGATGGACACAGCAGCAGGACACATCTCTAATTCTGAATTCCCATGGAGACAGGAGACTCCCTGGGAGCCTAAGGGACAGCTAGCTAGTGTGGCACACACTGTGGTACACAACAGAAAAGAGCCCTTGCCTCAAACAAGGTAGAAGGTGGGAACTGACAGCCAAGGTTGTCTCCATATGCTATATTTGGCTGCCATATGTGCCTGCATTCACACACACATACACATATATGTATCATACTTGCACACAATTTAAAAATCAAAATCGAGGCTGGTGGAATGGCCCATAGAGTAAAAGTACTTTGTCACCAAGCCTGATGACCTGAGTTCAATCCTGAGTGTCCACATCATGAAAGGAAAGAACCAACAGCCAAGATGTGCCCTGACTTCTACTCATGCAGCATGGCACTGTATTAGTGTGCACATGCACGTGCACGCACACACGCACACACACAAACACTGTATTATTAGTGACCCACTTTACAGACATACATATAAGCAGTAGTGGCTTATAAAACTATAATCTAGTATTGACATTAAGAAATACAGGTGGTTTTTTTTTTTCTATTTACAACATCAAATAATGTCTTGGAAAGCCTTTCTAAACTATTCACACCATGTGTCCATTATACTGCCAATAGACTCGGGCAAAACATGGTAAACTCCTAATTGCTGGCTCTTTATTAAAAGCATTAATTAAGGACTCTTCACCTATCATACTTTAATAGAAACCACAGAAAGGATGCTTTCTTATAACTACGTAAGACTGTAACAACAACGACAACAACAAAAGCAGGTACTTAAGGGAAAACACGGATGTAGTTTAATGACCTTGTTCACAGTTGGAGGTAATGGGGTGGGGGATGAGGCACAGATGGAAAGAAAAATATTTATTTCTTTGAAGTTAAAAAAACAAAGCTCTGCTGCCGGGCAGTGGTGGTGCATGCCTTTAATCCCAGCACTTGGGAGGCAGAGGCAGAAGGATTTCTGAGTTCGAGGCCAGCCTGGTCTACAGAGTGAGTTCCAGGACAGCCAGGGCTACACAGAGAAACTCTATCTCAAAAAACAAACAACAAAAACAAAGCTCATTCCTCAGTGTTCATCCATACACACAAATGCATACACATGAACATGCATCTTTCTGGTAGAGGAGTAACCCCACCGTCATCAATGAAGTGGTCTTCATACCTGGGTACTTCATTTTTAAAATGTGTGTGTCTGTGTGTCTGTGCGTGTCTGTGTGTGTGCGCACGTGCATGCACAAGCAAATAAGTGCAGTTTCCTGCAGAGACCAGAAGGGGGCACTGGGTCACCGAGAACTGGGGTTAGGTGTGGTTGTAAGCCACCTGCTATGGGTGCTGGAGACCAAACTCAGGTCCTCTGTGACAGCAGCAAAGGCTCTTTATCTCAGAGCCATCTCTCCAGCCCAATCAGCTACTTCTTTAATGGCATGTTAAGAGGCTTCACAGAAACCATTTTTTTATTGCTTCAGAACGGGCTAGCAGCTTGAAACATTTAAAATAACTGTGCACAGCTCAATTTGGCAGAAGGAGTCTTTTTGAAGCAATGCCTCAAACAAATGTGATGAGTACCTTCCTAAAGGAAGACACTTACAGCCTGGAAAGACTTCACACCTCAGTTTACCAGCTCCATGCATGTCACTGTGTCAGACAGAACAGTAATTAAATCAGCACATATTGGCTGGGAACACCCCTGTGCAAGCCAGTCCCGTTCTAGGATTGAACGAGTTTGGTCTCCCACTGGACCTTGACTTCCTAGTATATGAATTTGGTCATCTTATCCTGGGAAGTAGATGAGTTAATATATAATCCTGAGTACACAACACAAGAATGCCCTAGGTTTCAAGCTTACTTTTGCCCCCCCACTTCCCCAAAAATGGCTGCCTGGAAAAAAAAATCCCTAAAAGGAGGAGACTACTATCCTCCACCAAGCAAGAGGGCTGAAGCAAGAGAATGCAGTAGAGTCCTTTGTTGTAAGGGATCCTGGCAAGGGTGTGGAAGCATGCCTGAGAACCAGACTTTTCAATCCTAGAAGCACACTTGGGAGCTTGGCAATCACAGGGCCCTGAACCTCCCTCCCACCCCAGGCTGATTTACCAAGTCTGAGTTTGGGCATCTTTACTGTTTTGTTTTTAAAGAAGCGAGTTCCCTAATGTGCAGTCGGAGTGAGGAAAGACCACTTAACAGTATGAACTAGACAGAAAGGGGGGATGCCAGAGAAAACAAGGAGAATGTCGGGCAAAGCATGTGCTTCGAGAATCACGCTGGTTTTCCATTTTCTAAACCCTTGATGCCGAAGGAAGCCATTTCTTCCAAAGCCACAAATACAACACAGCCAGCCCAGGAAGAAACTAGGTAGTCATAGTTGTCTCAGAAACGTTGACAACTCAACTTCCTAACGATTAGCTGCCCACACCACCCCTGGAGAAGGTCAACAACCATCACAGCTACCCCAGAACTGCCTGCTTAGCCCTCCAGATCCAGCAAACCTCTGGGGACCAGGCAGGCCACTCATCCTACCCCTGTCTAGCACAGTCCCCAGATCAGAGCTTTCAACAATGCTGTCTGTAACTGCACCGTCCAGCATGGCAAACCTTAGCCACTCTCATCAATTATAATAAAGTGTGAAGGCTGTGCATCAGCCATATTTTACAGGTAGCTACTGGGTACCACACTGGACACAGAATCTCACCAACATAGCATCGGCTTCCACAGTGTCAATACTGTTCTCCAATCTCTGTTTGGATGCCCCGTGAGCAACTCAGTCTGCTATAATTGTGAACGTAGTACTTCCCCTTCATAGAAACTCCCTGTCACCTGTATTCAGAGTCTGCCACTATTCATCCAGTATCACTCCTTGAAAGACCACCCTAACTACCTTCAAAAACCCATAAAACTCTTCCAGTGTATAAGAAGTGTATCACCTGTGTTCTTCCTCACTGCACTCACAGGAGCAGGCTCAACAGACAAGCACTCTCCTCACCACACAGGGTCTCTCACACGGAGAAACAATAAAATACGAAGCCTTAAATAACAATCAAATGTATCCAGGAAGAAAAGTACAATGTTGCCATTTTCTGACATTTCCTCATGCAGATTCATACCCATGGGCTGAGTCTGCCTGTCAGACTCAGGGAGCCTTGAAACCTTACTAACCCGAGATAAGGACTAGTCAGAAAGAAGCTGCTCAAGCAGGACAGGCTCCCCTTCTGTTCACATCCCAACGGATCCTCCACTTAGAGCCAGAGTTGAGAGGGAATCCATTTATACCTCACTTGTTAATTAAATCATTATAAAAGTCGGGGGTGTGTGGTGGGGGACCACTGGGGAGGCTTAAAAAAAAACAAACAAATGAAAAGAAAACAAAGGGGACAGATTTCCTATCAGAAAAGAAAGT